AAAGTAGCGTTTGAAATTGGCTTTCCAGTCATATTGAATGTTTGGTGCTACATATTTTTTTTAAGATGAAATATAATTTTTGAGGTTTGGGTTCCGCTTTTTTTGACTCCCCCTGTACTGTTTGTTTTAATTTTTGTGCTAGTCCAGTCACAAAAAAATATTGCCTTGCTTCAAATGCAACAGAGTTCCTAATTTTGGCATGTTATACCAAACATGGTTTGATCATAGATCAAGATTTCAAACATATTCCTACAAACATGGAAACAAATGTGTGAAACCGCAGGTAAAACAATTCTGTGAAACTACAGATCTTTTTCGTATGACCTGTATCAGGTTTTATTTACCACACTTGTGTTTAGTTACAGTGAGATATAACAAGAATTTCCTCCCTGGAAATGAATGTCCGACCATACAGTTTTCAGTTACAGGGCGGCTTCCCTTGCCAGTGTCCGCAATTCCTGGACTGTTAAGGTCAGATCTTTTTCTCGTTTGACTGAGCCAAGCTACAAGAGAGAAATCGTAAATCAGCAATTAGCAGGCAATTTGTTTGGGGGGGGGGTTGCTAATTGAAAAGAGAGGACACATCAAACTTAGCAAAGCTTGCTTGTCCCAAACCGCACACAAGATTCATTTAAAGCCTGAGTCCATCATTTGCAGCTATCCAAAAAAGTAACCGGCGTAATTATTGTTGAAAAACATACTGGTTGAAAGATAGTAAGGGGACTAAACTCCCTGTGAAATTATCCTTTCTGGCAAGCTCTCATTTTGAAGAAATCAACGAAAGAAGGCATTTCCAACGGTGCTTCTTAAGAAGCACCGTAGGAAAATTTAAATTAGTTGTTCGTTTTGTTATTCGGCACAGCGCGCACAAGCATTGGAACGACGCACAGGCGCGCACGGTTGCTATAATTCGTTGGATCAGTGCGCAACATCGCGTAAAGCTGCAATTCAAAACAATTCGAAACATGATTTAGCAACTTTTGATTTTAAATTGAGATCCTAGAATGCTGTTTTTCTCGGAATATGAAGCTGAAGCTGAGCTGAAACTTCATCAAGTAAGTTGTTCAGTATCCTTCATTAGATTTTGAACACTTTTGTTGCTTCAAACGAACAAAATGCACTAATTACAAATGATGGACTATAGCTTTAATTCAGAATTGGCAATTTACTGGAAATCCTGACATGGTCTACACAATGGGCTATAGCCAAGTAGTTCGGGGCGGCCTAGCATCACATAAATGCCAACAAGTGAACTGAAAAGTCTTGCATTGCTGAAGCCTAGCCTATTGCTCATCAACTGGCCAATTAATGATATAAAGCTGAATAATATTCAAATAACCAGTTAGTTTTTCAATTAAAGAAGCGTTTTCAAAACTTCCAGAAATGGTAATGGTTATAAAAGTGAGTGTGTTCTCAACATGATAAAAAAAGTGTCATTTGCCCTAAGTGACATGTTTTGAGTTCAACATGATTTCCTGAAAACCCAATTTTTGTAAATCTGTTGAATTCCTGTTCCTATTTGATTGTGTTTCCATTTGTGCTGCTAAATGAGATTTCAAGATGAGTTAATGTCTGCGAGTACTGGGGTTGAGTTACGTGTTCAGAAACTTATGTTATTTTGGCAGTGTGCCACAATGCCCAGTCATAACTATGCACATTAACAGACACACCCAGACGTCTTGCAAATTGACATCCTGCCAATGGGATCTGTAATGACCGGATGACCACCACTTACAGTTCACCCATGGGATATATGCAGGGTCTCTTTCAGTTTTTGACCAGCTGACCACAACAAAGAAATTGAAAGCTTGACTACATACACATGCATGTCTAAGAAAATCCGCCAAAAAAAAATGAGGAGAAATTATCATTGACGAAGTTATTCCTTCCTGTTGCCGGACCATCTATTAAGTGAGCTCCACGGAGGTGATTAAACAGCAATTTCCTGCTGATGAGGGAATATGACTCCTCTGTTATACGGAAAAGACATTTGGGGGGTTGGGTTGCGAGATTTAGACTTCACCCAGTCCAAACCCGGCTTTTTTTTCTCTTGTGCGACTAAGTGTTTTTAATCAGCCATGCTCAGTTCTACTACCATCAGTTAAAATGGAGCTTTCACTACAAATGTTGATGTAGAAACTTCAGGATTACATTTAATTTGTGTTTAGATAGGAATTTTTGGAACTGTCAGAAAAGTAATGAGTGTTGGTCTCTATTGGCAAGTCTAAAAAAGTTTTTAATGGTTAGCCACTGCGCGCAGGAAGGACAAATTCACCGTCCCAGAAGCTAGCAGCCTGTCGCAGCCCAACTACATGTATATGTACTGAGGACTTTCATAAATAGGAGGCTCACTTCCAGTCCAGCTTTCATATTTAGTCATCAGAATCCTCCGCAAGCTGAGTGCCGTCAGTGGCTTTCATGTAGCTAGAGCTGGTGGGGTCTCCAGTGCCTTGCAGCTTCAGGACAGATTGTGGTCACAGAGAATTGTCTGTTTCTTTTGGAAAGTCCTGGATATCTGTGTATCCACACATGGATTTTATTCAACTACAAGTTCAACCAACGGATCTACTGATCAACACAGTGTGGATAACCACATATTTTGTAGATAGGAATCCAATATATAATAAAGTGGTTGGTACTGTGAATTCATTCAACAAGTTCTCGGTTTCAACTAAACAACCAGCAAAATCTGCTGAGCTTTCTTGGAAACATTAGTGCCTCGCACACATGCTGTACCGGTATAAACCCTGTCATCCTACACTGCACAAGGCAATCTCTGAGTCAGTCATATCATACAGCAAGGAATCATATCCGCTTATCCATTCATAAAGTGCATCCTTTTTTCGTCCCCATTTCTTCTGTGTTATTGCTTGTGCTTGGCTTGTGCCAGGAGCCACCATCTACACCAATGCGGCTGTGGTCGGGAAGCAAGAATATGGACTCCACCAGGGATATAGTGGAGGACCTGGATATATTCTATGTCAGGCAGCTTGCCGTCAGCTTACAGGTAGGCGTAAACAAAGTGCTAATTTCACAAAATCTTCCTGCTAGAAAATGATACTCACTTTCCACCTCACCCCCTTTTGCCAATAAGTTTTTCACCTTCACTAAAAACATTCCGAACCTTCATAATAGACCTGTATCATGCTGCCACCATTTCAGTCATGTTCCCTGAATCCAAGAACAGTACTGAAAGATCAATGTTTTTTGTGCGAAAAGGAACCAGACTATTTTTCCTTCCAGCCTCGCTTTGGTTACGTTGATTTGAATGGGAAAAAATCAAGATTACCGCAACATGATAATGGTCTATGCACTGTAAGCTGGCAACCTTAGCCCCCCCCCCCCCCCCAAAAATCTCCAGTTTCTGGTATGCGAGCGTGTCGCCGTAGCCATGCGTGTCGGCGAAATTAAAAAGTTTTTTTTTTCAATGCAAGATGATGTCTCAAACCACCAAACTCACTGGTTTGACTGTAATCCTGCTGCTGCACAATTTTAACATGTTTTTAGATGAGGTTACTATCGAGTATAAGCTTTATGTGGCCTCTCTTGGCTCCCATATATTTTGCACTAAATTTAGTCGGGCACCATATACAGTCATCAGCCGACATTTGAAGAAAAAAAGTTTTAAAAAGCCACTTTGCCGAACCACTTTTGGGGCAAGCTCCGTACCACAAACCAAAGCCTTTTTTTTTGGCCTTAGAAAACTACAATGTACTGTATACATGATATTTCCCCAACAGTTTACAGCAGTCCTCAGAAACTTGAATGGAATTAATTCATTTTCCTGTGAATTTCTCCATAGTAAATAACTTGCATGGAATAAATTGCATTTGCTGTCCTTACATTTAGAAAATCTTGTTGCTGGGGAAGTCATCCAAAAGTGTTTTGTGGTAGACTTGACTATATAACTTTTCAATAATAATGGTACTTTCAGAAAGGATGTTTCATGGGTGGAGCAAAACAGCAACCCTGTCACCCTGGGCAGGGCAGGACAGGATGTCGTTTGAAAAGTCCCCTTTGCCTTTCACTTTTGTGTATTACCAACTCCAGATCATAAATTGATGCAAATTTCAGCCTTTTCTTTAAATCTTCAATTGCATGCACACTAACGACTGCCTTACATGACAGTTCCCCAGTATTGTCTGTAACTGTTGAGTCAAGAGTGCTTGTGGCCTTGTTATAGTATGTGGTTCGTTTGGGTACGTAGAACTTGACACTAGTCTTGTGGTAACTTGTGTAACTTCAGATTCACTTTTGGACAGTGGCAGTAAACTTTTAATTGGGCACAAAATATACTTTTGGCTTCAATGCGTTTGAATAATAATGTGCTGCTTGACATATTTCTTCAATAATTCTCAGTAATTGCTTTCTTTAAAGATTCATTCCCTGTGCGTTTTTCATGTTTCATCCCGAAGCATCGATTCCTTTTCTGAATTGCGGATTTTCTAGCAATACACGCGTTGTTCACTTTTGAATGAGACATCTACCGGTACCCAAAAAAAATTGGCCAATGTTTAGTTATTAAATTATTACTATACAGTTTTGAATTATTTACTGCCAGACAGTAATTCTCATTTCCAGGGGGTACCTGTAGCCTGGTTCCCGCCTTACAATCAGTATCGATAATGTATGGACCGGGAGCCAGTCTGCTTGCAAAGCGGATCTGTTTGAGCCCAAAACAAAAACCTTATTTTCCCAGAGGTTTGTACATGTAGACAAAAAAGAGAGCTTTTTAGGTTGGAATAAAACACATACAAGTTGAAAATTTATAAATAGAAAAGCAAAATTGAATTTGTTGAAGAGCACTAGGAATGCAACTTAAAAATGGCAACAAGCCAAGTAAATCACGGGGTGTGCTAGTTGTACAGTAGAAGTCCCAAGTACACTCCAGCTGAGATTTGCGACTGATCTTCATACATGTATGCACATCAGTTCATTACATGGCTATATATGGTTACAAGATCGCATACCACTACAACCTCATAGCAAACAAAGCATACATTGTTTTACCACCATAACAAAGAACCCCATTCTGCACAGGCTAATTAAAATGAAGCATGTTTCCTTGCTGTGTGAATGAACCCACACAACTCACGCATGAATTTGAGAAGCAGTGTTGCAGGCACTCATGGTACATGCGAATGTAGCACTTAAAAGTCTGTCATGTCAATTAGTCCTCATTTGGACAGATGAAATGAGTACTTATGCTTCTGGAAAACTATCAGGGTTTTCTTTAAACCCTGCCATCTGAAATCCCAAGAATAAATCAACTATACTGATGTCATCGAGAATCAACCTTATCTATTTCTTTGCTGTTCATGTAGCTGATTGCTATATTGGTCAGGTTGATGACCAGTGATAAATCTTTCTGGACTCGGATCATATTGCTCCCACTGTTCTTTGTGTGGGGCTGAGTTGCCAGACCAGTTAGCAAGGTGAAAGTTGTTCCTTGTTGAGGCAATCTGGCCTGGATGCGTTGACTGGAGTTGTTTTATTGATAGCAAGGGGATAGCCAGAAGAAGATTACCATTTTAGGATGTGTTCAGAGGTTGCTTGTTGTCGTAGTGTTGCAGCAATTGCAGATGTCCAGGTGAGGATGGTTACAACTTTCTTCATCTTTTCAAAGTTTGTTTTTTGAATTTTTTTTTCAGTTGTGTGTTTTTTTTGTGTTTGGGTGTTTTTTTTAAATTTTTTTTATTTATTTATTTATTTATTTATTTATTTATGTATTTCCTCTTCTTCTTTTTTTTTTTTTTGGGGGGGGGGAGAATTTACTTTAGGGTTTTAAAGTTTTGTTAGCGTCATCTTGCAGTTGGTTTAACCCTAAGGGCAATTCCATGGGTAACTCACGTTACATTTAACGGGGTCTTCCATCACCTCTGTGTTGTTCTATAAAGTCAAAGCATTTTGGGAGGATTTTTCTCACAGAAGATCCCTTGAAGTTAAGTGACTTAACTGCAAAAAAGAGGCCAACAAAATCAATTTCTGTCGGTTTGGCAATACGTTTTTATCGGTAACTCGCGTTACACAAAGACTTTTTATTTGAAATTTTACTCATACTGTGCACAGTTTAAACAATGAAGGTCAGTGTCCTTACTTCATTAGGATCATTTTTGTAATTATCAATCATGAGATCTCGAAGGGGATATGGTGCGGTAACTCACATTACGGTAAACAGGATGTGTGAAAAATCATATTCAAATTGGAGTTTTCTGGACAGTTAAGGATAGTATTACATGTAATTCATTCTTCCACAAATAAATGAGCACCAGATATGGTGGACTGGTTAGGGGTGCAACCCATGTAAATGAATTCCCATAAAAACTAATGATAAATCCTTCAAAATTCTTTTAAAAATGCTCTGAAATCTCAAAGGCTGCAAAAAAAACCCCTCATGATCAACATGTCATCTTTCATATTTCTTCTTCAATTTTTGGTGCGTTGACCAATATTTTTTTGGGCGAAATTCTCAGCCAAAGAAGACCACCCCTGGAAAAAAGGAAAAGTAGCCATTTTGAAAAAGGATCCATTTTGAAAAAGGATCCCTCCACAACATGGCTAAATAGCGCCACTTTCAGACCCAATTGCATCCGAAATGCTAAGAATTGGAAGCCCCAAGTCCAGGCCAGAGGTGCATTCCATGGCTATCAGAACTCTCTAATACAGAATGATTGTTGGCCTATTCATTTGGTTGCATCATAGAGCAAGGTTGCATCCCTAGGTTGAGTAATTAATTCAGGGCTCGTGAAACACCTAAGTAACCCAAACCCTCCCACTTCTTCCAAAATTCAATAGGACATTTGGGAGAGTTTGGCAGCCTTGAAAATGTGTGGAGCCCACTCACCAGTACTTTTAATATGTGGGGCCTGATTCCCCTCCAAATTTTAAGTGCAGGAAAATTGTACATGGCTTTCAACAGTGGAGGATTTTGGAGAAGTCAAGAAGGCTCCTAACTGAACTGCCTGTTGAGACTTAGGGTTCAAGAGGGTATCAACTGTTGACAGTCCAAAGGCTGTCCATCAGACTTTGCTAATAGCCCTGCCCTGGTGCTCCCTAATGTCCACTGCAAACATGACTTTGATGGTGCGCCTGGATGCCGTCAGCATAGGGGAGCCTGTGTTCAGGAAATGACTTCTGTCATCACCTACTAAACCCTTCTATCTGTTCAACCACAAAATGCTATCAACCTGACCACTGAAGTGACATTGTGAGTGACCCCTATTCTCCCTTACCCCTGGTTCATCCTTCCAGTATCCCTGGGATTAAGGCCTGACTGGTCACAGTCAGCTCAAACCCCCTGATTATCTTGTACTGACGTCAAACTTGTCAGTAGAAATTACACCTATTGCCCTTTGGCCATGCCGTGACTGCCTTATCTTGCAAACCATGCAATTCCTGGACAAACCACAGTGTGACCCCATTGTTCATTCCTAGAACCCATAACCACTGACTCCTAGCCCTCCCCACCTCCCTTCACACTCCTTTCTATTGACAGTGACTTCTCAAGGATGTGCACATGTAGTTCTGACGTCAAAGAAGCTTGTCAACAAAATGCAGATATCCCCCTAATCATGTACTACCTTTGAAGTTGAAGCACTCATTTCAAGGGTAGTGCTTGGACAATAGTTAAAGGATATTTTTGTGGGTAGGCTGCTAGCCACAATTTATTGAGTAAGTTCACAACAGTTCACGCTGCGTAACATTTCAGTTTTTCAAGAAAGTTGCGTAGTGAGTCAGTAAGTCCAGTAGTCCACGACTCGCACAGCAAATTATAGCGTTACTTATGCTATTGTTTTTAATGGCGTAAGTACTGACGTAGCGACTAAAAAATGAACTATTCTTCTGGCAATTCATGATAGTCTTGGAGCCTGTTATTGCTCAACTTATCAAGGCACTTACAAGACACTTACAGCTTTCTGCGTTGATAATTGACTGCGTCCAATTGGATATCTTCTCAATAAATTGGATGATTGGAAATCTCTTTGTGTTAAAAGTAAATGAATTGGTACACATACGTGTATCAATGCATGTGACAGAATTTTTAGAGTTTCTGCATAATTCCGTAGAAAGTCGGACAAAGTTCTTTTCAAAATGGCAGGCGAAGGTGTTTCAACGATATACAAACAGCCATTGTAAAAGCTGTTATTATCGTCGTCCAAGATGTTTTAACACATTGCACAGCTACTGGTACTCTAAGTTTTGTGAAATCAATCATAAGATGATTGCACAGCTACGCATGGCGTAAATTGCACACTGTTCCTTGAAATCGGCTTCTGGTGTATGTGTCACTGAGGCTGGCTTATAAAATAAGCTGCATGTACTTGCACTGTAGCACACAACTTAATACAAAAAGCTCTTTAATGTTGACTGCCAACCCTTCAGACTTATGTTAGTCATTCATACCGTAGTCTGTCATCAAGTTTAAAACTTGTTCAGCAGTTGTGTGCATTCCTTCAAGACATTCAGGTTACAAATGTCAGGAAAGTGTAGTGTTCTGAATTTTTGTATCATTTTGCCAAATCGCTGCTGCATGTACACATTTCCACAGAATGGGAAAGACAATCACTGAGCTGATTCCTTATGAAAACGTACACGTGCTTGATAAAATTTTCAGATCTTTCAAAATCAAGGGATGTTGGAAATTATGTAGGATTTTGTAGGATGTACATGTAGGAATGTAAAGTCCAACACTGTTACTTTATTTAGGGCTTGCACTGATCCCCTTTTTACACGTAGAAGAAGGTTAAAAAAAGAGTTCTGTGCAGAGTGGTTGATTTTGTAAAATTCAAGGGGATTTCCAGCACAACTGTTGGGGAGTTTCCAAGGGTTTTGTAATCAAATATTCATAGCATTACCCCTTACCCCAGGACCATGTTTTATAAAATAATATGCCTTGAATTGCCTCAGTTCCTGCTATTGATTTAGGAAGAATCATAAAGATTCTCAACCACAAATACTTGGAATTTGATGTTGGAGCAGTTTCAGCAGAATTATAAACTGTTCTTTTTCCCCCCTCGTCCTAGGACTATGAGCTGCAAAAGAAGATTGACCTAGAGATCAAGATGAGGGAAGGGACCAAGAAGCTCCTAGCGGCCTGTAACCGGGAGCTGCAGCTACTGGAGGCCTCCAAGGCCCTGCTGGTGTCCAATGCCAGGGTCCTGGCCTACATGTCAGAGCTACAGGAACGCAAGACGGCACAGTATCTGGAGAAGAAAGGGTCATCTGCGGCATCACATGGCTCAGAGAGGAGTGGAAGCACTCAGAACGGGAGTGAGTGTGGGAGCAGGCCAGCTTGTAAAGGAAAGGTGGCTGTCTCAGGTAGGTAGGAAGAGAGCAAGCGGTTGGGGTGATTGTTTTACTCTGATAGAGCTGGAATTGGTGTAGATAGACGGCCGTGATGGAAACTGGAGGTAATGTGAGACTAAGCAGGCTGTCTGAGGCTGGTTGAGAGTTGAGATGCTATTGAGTCAATCGTAACTCAATTACAAGTCAAATCAAGTCAGAAAACAACACAAGTACCTGTGTATTAGGCATATAGGTTCATTTGCTATTCATGCATTTTGTTCGTTTCCAATAATACCACTCAAAATCCAAAGAAGAATGTTAAAAACCAAAAGAATTTCATTGGAGATAGTTCAAGGTGTAACACAAGTGTTTGCAAAAACAGATTAAGCTGAAATTTGGAATACATACTGAGATGATTTAAGTGTTCAACTACTTGTGAAATACCAACTTGAGGGAATTCCAAGAAATTGAGATAAATACATAGCTTTACCAGTAACCAGTATTGACGTTTTGGCATCTGACGGTAATTTTTTTTCACTGACATGAAGTTTAGAATTTTTTCTTCCGTTTATAATTTAACATTTCAATCATACTGAGCATATTTTCTGAGAAACACAACGATCAAAAGGCCATGTTTTTTGGGGTGCATGAATTTCACTGCTCTATTATAGCTTCCAATGGCAATGCTTAGGCCTTTGCAACCACATGGCTGGGTATGGGTGGGTTGCACTGAAAGGAATGGCAGTGAGAATTGGACTGCATTGTACAGGTGTAAAGATTTATTGGTGTGTCAATGACTACAATACAAAAAATCTGCAATACAGCAACAGAAAACACAAATTTGGATTGCAATATTTGGTTTTAAAGTTGATAAAAACATTAAGCAAATAGTGGACCATTTCAAGGACCGGAAGTCAAATTTTGTCAAAAAATTGTGGACAGCACATGTTATAATTGGGATCAAAACATTAGCCATTTAAAACTACTTCCAATACAAGTACATGAACCGGTTTATGCGCCTTTGCGCATTTCAAATTGGTTTGTGTTTACATTCAAACTTCTATGAATACTTTAACAGTTTAGCTTAGAATTGATTGAGATTTTCCAAATGTTTCTATTGCTATTTTCAGACATCAGGATTCCACTCTTCTGGAAAGACGTCGACCACATAAAAAACAGAGGAGGTATGTCATCCAAACTTTCTTGTTAAAAAGTAACATTGTTTGGATTATTGTAGTCAGAGTTTCAATTCCAACAATTTTTTTTATGGGGCTGTGTTGATAATTTCAAATTCATTTTCTTCTTTGGTTCATCTCTGATTGTCTTTTTTTGTGAGGGAATTTTACTGTATTCACTGATTGCCAGTTTACCCGAGCCTATCCAAGCAATAAACCATCATCCTCTAACTCGATTCCCATCCAGTCAAACTCCAACACCAGGGTATGTTGGAATCTGTTAGGATGAGTACTGCGCTAGTAGACTGATTATGCTTTACATGGGGTGAGGCATACCATAACACATTCTGACTGTTTATGTGTACAGTTTACCATATGGTGTTGGAATTTGCAAGGATGAGGATGGTTCCAAGTAAATCAGCCTAGGGGGTTATGGTTAATGCATAAAGCCTATTGGCTTTGAGTTTTGCCATGTATGTGCAATGTGTAGTTCCATACTACATGGCTTTGGAGTTGTTTTATGATCACAAAAAGTTCCTATTTTGGTCCACTCTAGAAGCTTGACTCTGCGAACCTTGCCACCCAACTGAAGTCTGTTTGTAACATTAGTATGCCAGACAGCCCTGTAGTGAGTTACCATATTTCCTATTGATGGGGCACACATCCACCCTGTGATTTGAACCTTCCTTTTTCCTGAAAACAGGGTGCCTTAAGGCCAAGATTACAAAAAAATGGTCGGATATTAATTAACCTCATACATGTTTGTGAATGTGTACAAGTACTGTAGGACATTCATTTTAAAGTGTAATGATGCCTTCAATGCCAAGTTTTATTGACAAGTTTATCATGGAAGGGATTTAAAGGTACAGTCCATCATTTGCAGCTATCCACAAAGTAACTGACATGCATTGTAATTATTGTTGAAAAGCATACTCGGTTTAAAGACAGTAATGGGACTAAACTCCCTGTTAAATTATTCTTTCTGGCAAGCTGTCATTTTGAAGAGATTAGTGAAAGAAGGCCTTTCAAACGATGCGTCTAAAATCGTTGGAAATTTCCGTTTGGCCAAAAAAAAAAGTCTCCGGTTTCTGGTATGGAGCTTGCCCAAAAAGTGGTGCGGCGACGCGGCTTTTTTTTTTTTTTACCTGTTTTTTTTGCTTCAAATGTCGGCTGATGACTGCAAATGGTACCCGACTAAACTTAGTGCAAATATTATGGGAGTCCAGAGAGGCCCCATAAAGCTTATTCTCGATCATAACCCCATCTAAAAACACGTTAAAATTGTGCAGCAGCAGGATTCCAGTCAAACCAGTGAGTTTGGCGGTTTTGAAACATCATCTTTCATTGAAAAAAAAACTTTTTCATTTTGCCGACGCGCATGGCTACGGCGACGCGCATGGCTACGGCGACGCGCGCGCTTACCAGAAACCGGAGACTTGTTTTTTATTGGCCTTAGTAGTTCGTATTTTTTATTCGACGAAGTGCGCACAAGCGTTGACATGATGCACACACGCTCACGGTTGCAATAATTCGTCAGTTCAGTGCGCGACATCGCGTAGCTCTGCAATCGGCTCAGTGCGAACATATCTTGAACACTGAATTCAGGCACAATTCAAAACATGACTCAGCAACTTTTGATTTTAAATCGAGATCCTACAATATATTGTTTTCTTGGAATATAGAGCATTCACTGAGCCGAAACTTCATCAAGTTTAGTTCACCACCACAGAGCATCTCGAATCACCCTGCACCACCCTTCCCTAGATTTTGAACACTTTTGTTGCTTCAAACGAACATAATGCACAAATTACAAATGATGGACTGTATCTTTAATGATGGAATTTTGAAATGATTATTGTCAAAGGTATTATCTTTGGCAACACAATCATATGTTCCAAATCATTAATCCCATGCAAATGACATTTTCCTGAGATATTCCATTGCTTGGGTGTTTGCCAGTCTTTTGCCATATTTGTCCCCTGCACAATTGCATTAACTTCCTCTTCCTCTTTCCCAATTGAGGAACTAAATTACTTGTTCTTCAGAAAAACATTCCGAGGTTCAGTATTAAAAGAGACTACATGTTTATGAGAGATAAAGTCAGGCATGACATTTTTCAGACTTTTTGTCTGAATTCAGACTTTTTGAATCTGAGAGAAAGACATTATCAGTATAGAAAGATATTTGCATCTTTCAGACCTTTCATCAATTTTCAGACATTGTTTTCATTGACAATCTCATCCCTGTAAAGTGTACTCTGAGCCACCTAGCACAGTACATGTACGTGCAGCACGCAATTTTCCCATCTAAGGACAGTTTTTGCACAACGTGCGCTGAAAGACATGGCCAGGGGGGTGTTTCACAAAACAAGAAGTGAAATTGTTGAACAAAATTGTTGAACATTTGTGAATTTTGACTTGCTTTGACTTTCTGACTGTATTAAACAAATATTTTTGAAATGGGACTAGAGCCCTTGATGTGGATAATGTCCCTCGCCTTTTGCTTGGGTCATTATCCAGGGCCCCAGCCAGTTTTAAACATACTCAAATTAGGTTTTGCCCTTCACCGACTTATAAACACTGAATACTCAGTGTGTTACATGTACCTCCTGAGTGAAAGTTGGAAAAAATCACTCGGGTGGTACTCTAATTGATTTACATCACCCCGATGAAAATATTCCATCTTATGAATAGTTTAATGCGGTACCCATTTGCTATGTACATCAGACTCAAACCAGCCAACCGATAGCTCGGTGGTCGAGTGGTAAGACGTCTGCACTAGAAGGTAGTAAGTCGTGGGTTCGAGTCCCACCCAAGTGATTTTTTTTCAAAATTTTACTCGGGAGGTAACACACTGAGTATTCAGTGTTTATACGTCGGTGAATTAAGGGCTAAACCTTGTTTGATTTACATCACCCCGATGCAAAATCTTATGAATAGCTAAACATACTCGTTTAAAGCTGGCCAAGCATGCATATTCATTCCCATTATATACATGTACCGGTAACTTGTCAGACTTGACAAATAGAAGCACTACTTTCCAGCAAAGCCTTGCATAGATCTACATTGCACATGTATGTGTACAGGAAGTGAGCATTTGACGTACATGTAAATGTATTTCCAAAAATAATGTACAAGGCCCAAATCCGTTGCCATATACATGTACATACATGTACGTAAGCTGGGTTATCTGCATGGCTCACTGATGCATTATCACTGTTCAGGGATTTAAGAGCAAATCCTCTTTTAAGCCCAAAATCTGCTTTGACATCTACATGTACACTGTACCCAAGTCAGCTTTTCTTGTGCAGAAATTTTTCTCGTGAAACACTTTTCTAAAAAAAGAAGAAGATAATTGTAGATAGTTTGCTTGTGAATTTGCAAGTGAGGAACACAGTATTCTGATCTAAAATCCAGTTCAGATTATTTAGTAGAACTTTCTAAAAATTTAATTAAGTTTAAAGAAAAATCTCATATTAAATTCAGCCTTGCATGCTGCTCACACATTCATCGGGTCAATTTAGCAAAGTGACGTGCCAGTACATGTACATCTCAAAACAAGTTGGATGTTTTCCAGCGTAATCAGGGAGGAAGCACTCTGTAGATGCAAAGGACAACTCAACTTCTTAATTTAAGACATATGTTAGAAGGTGAAGGTCACTTCAGTGAGTGGTGTTGGGGGGGGGGGAGTCCTTGTACTGTTCTGTCTATTGATACACTGTGCAGGAACAGTAGATGATGATGTGTAGCCTTTTGGAAGGACATGGTGCGCATTTTCACATCTGTCCATAGCCTTGCGTATGGTGCACTATACGCGCAACAAATTTTCATAGGAGCAATCCCGCAGCATGCAGCTGTGTAGGGCTGTCTTGAATATATCGAATATTTGAATATTGGATCATGAATCGAATATTTTGAATAGCTTTTTGCCAGTTTGAATATTCAAAAAGAAAAACTATGCATGTGCACACAAAACTGTGATGTTATTTTAACCGTAAAGTTGGATTTTTTTATTGTCGGATGCCACTCTTTTGTCGACGGTAACTTTTTTGGTCAACGCCTATTTATTGGTCCCATTTTAGCTTGGTAAAGTCCCTTGGCAGTTATACAGTACACATATACTAATTACGAAGGTTCAATAATCTGAAGGTTCGATAGTCCGAAGGTTTGATAGTCCGAAGGTTCGATAGTCCAAGGGGCCCATTAGTCCGAAACTAGCATAAGGTTAAATAATCTGAAGGCTCGATAGTCCAAATCGACAATAAGGTTGAACTTCCCGAATACACAGCATTGGACACTATTGTCAATTTGGACTATCGAACCTTGTGTGTTTTTGGAATAATGAACCTTCGGACTATTGAACCTTGTTTTCGTTTCAGACTGTTGAACCTTCGGACTAATTCACCTTATTCTAAATTCGGACTACCGAACCTTTGGGTAAATGAAACTTCAGATTATCAAACCTTCATGACTAAAGCACCTTCGGACTATCGCAGCAATGTTCGGATTAGCGTTTCCGGACTAATGACAAATGAGCCCACAGTTACGGGAAATTCCTACGTTCAGACTATCGAACCTTCGGATCAATAAACTTTTGGCCTATGATACACTATCAAACCTTCGAACTATTGGGCCAGGGACAGCGGAACTGGGGGGGGGGGGGGGCAACAAAAATGCCCCTCTTGCGGATATAAATGTGCCCCCTCGATCGAGATGAAAACAAAACTGCCCCTCAAATGCACACGCATAAAAGCACATGATAAAATAAAATTGTCTCCTCTCTTGTAATGCAAAACTGCCCCTCAAAAACACAAGAACGGTGCCCCCTCTCAAGATGGAAAACTGGCCCCTAAAAATAATAATGCTCTTCACGCAAATATAATGGTCACTGAAACTGGCCATTACAAGCAACAGTGCCCCTCTCGTGATAAAAAAGGTCTTTCCACACAACTAGGTAAAAGAAACACAAAGAGCAAGACGGACAACGTATTCATAATTTGTTCCTCGCATATAGGTTTATAGTGAAATGAACGGGACCATTTTCTTTTTCTCCACTTTCACACCGACGGAAGGTGCCCCTTTTTCTGGACAAGTGCCCCTTTTTGGTGTTGCCCTCCCCCCCCCCCCCCCTCCCCAGTTTGATAAGTGTTCCGCCATTGAGCGTGGCATAAGGGATCGGCCTTTTGAGCGATTCTAATGCACAAAGTTCAAACCAGGAGTGACAAGTGGTTGTATATTTGTTTAACCTCCTCAGACCATCACCGGTATGCCGTGTTCTGCCTCCTCAAGATTGGTTCAGACATCAACAGCACCCAGTTGGTAACCAACGTGGACCGAACAGCAACAGACGTGAATTTTGAAGACTCGTTCATTTTGTAAGTTGACCATGGCCAATACTGGTATCATTTTGAGCAGGGCTTCAAAGTACACACTGTCAGTTGATTTAAAGTGTGGGACTAGTACTTTCAATGATTGATCAAAATTTGTTGTCAAATGTGTTGCCTAGAAACAAACTTTTGGGAGACACTTACCAGTCCTAAATTCTGCATGACCATAGACCTGTATGACCGTAGACCAGTACATGTATGTTACACTATTGAAAACAAATGTAACAACTACGATATGCTTTCATGGATTTTGATGGAACTTGGATGCAGTGACCCTTGGTTGGGAAGACACTATTCTTCATCGATTTACTGAGGTCCAGTGTTATGTAGGGGTCATTGTTCAAATATGCTTCAAATGTTTCTTTGTCTACAGAATTTGATTGCTTTTAATGTCACTTGGATGGAGTGATCCTTGGGTGGGGGTTCATCACAAGTCTTCCGAAAAAGGAGTTTAAAGGTCATCTAGGGGCCATTTGAGGTCCTTTAAAAATGCACAAAATTTGACTTTAAAAAACCCCACAAAACATGTAGGGATCGACTGAGAAAAAGGCGACACATGCGGACCACTTGTTAAAACTACTAATCCATTGTAGTACTCCAAATGCTCCATTTGAATTCCCATTCAAGGGACCCAAAACTTTTAAAATCTTGCTAAACCTGAAAGGATTTTTGGTGGATTCAGAGACACTTTCCAAACAAATGAGCAATGAACAAACAAGGCATTTATGTCCCAAGTAAAATATTCTTTTGTTTTGTTTCCTCCCTTTCCATCAGTGAAAATGTATCCCCAGACTTCCAGTTTACCATTGAAGTTTATTCCTACAATCTCCATGATGACATGACGATAGCGAGCACGCCCCAAAAACTGCGGCGGAAAATCAACTCGTTCTCCAACAGTGTCGGCAAAACAGTGGGGCGAAGACTACAAGCAAGCATGTCAGCAGGGGTGAGTTTGCTGTTTTCAATGACATAAAAATGCCTCTTTAGGCCTACTTGAATTTTATAAAAACAGAATATCAACATCATCCTTTACAATAATCAGCCAATAGGTCTCGTTCAAATGATGTCATTTCCTACAGACCATCCACGTGCATCGACATTTTGAGCGTCAACTTGCATAACGCACATCAGCTGTGTCGTATTTTGAACACATTTCAAGCAACAAGCGCATGTGTTTGGAACATTTTCAACACTGCGCAATGCGTGCTCGATTGCGTTAAATACGCAGTTGCAGTTCTCCTACAGAGATGGCCATCGTTGAACGAGCTCTGTTCAGAGTATTGCAGCTTTTCTTTAGTGTGAGTCACTTGAATTGATGTTTATCACTGAACGATGTACAAATTTATGTCCTCAAACTTTAGGGCCTGTTCGTTTCATTCCAGATCCTGATCAAGATCATGATATCCAGCGCCGAGCTAAACAAACAGAACCACTCTCACTCCTTGAATCCTTTAGGCGCACACAAATGTCATCTGCTACAGATTTTGTACACAGAAGGTCTTTTTAATGATAACCTATCTATAATTTCCAGAAAAAGTAAATCAGTTGTGCTATTTTTAATCACGAAAATACATTCTAAAAGAATTATGAAAACGAATTGTCACAAAGGCTCATCTGAAGCTTCAATTCTACTAAAACATACATGTACTCAGCAGATTGCACGAAACCTTACCCAATGGCGCAACTCTGCTTGCACTACAATTTATTGCGTAAGTTGCGCAACATTTCACACTGTGCAACATTTCACTTATGAAACATTTCACGAAAGTCGGATAGTGCGTAAGTCTGCGACTTGGGCAATAAATTATGGCGCAACTTGTGCAATCATTTTAGATGGCATTAGTTGTGGTGTAGCAACTGAAAATGACATATTTTACCAACAAATCTGGACTGTTGTGGATCCCGTTATTGCACAACTTATCAAGGTTGATACAAGGCACTCACAACTCTAGGTTTGAAGTAAATGAATTTATATTTTAACAGAATTTTGACAGTTGCCGAATGATTCCGAAGAAAGTCGAACAAAATAATTTTCAAAATGACGGGCTGAGGCGATCCAACAACTGTTTCGCTAACGAACAAATTCACACACAAATGGCGATCGTAAATCCTCTTGCTATCCTCATCCAAGATGTTAAAATTATTTAAAACATTGTGCAGCTCGCCAAGTTTCTTGAAATCGATCGTAAGTTTAATGCGCAGCTGCGCAACAGATTTGTTGCGGAAGTCTGGCGCAAGCTGCGAACTTTTTCGTGAAATCGGATGCAGCTTTTTTCTCTCCGTCCGTCGCGCACATCGCCATCTTGATCTTGCGAATCCACCTCGCGAGTAGGATCCATTAAAACATGATCTGGAGCAGCTATCAATGCGTCAGATCCAGTGATGTAGTGCCTTGATGCTGGGCCTTGGCCTTAAGGCTGCCTTAAGGCTGGATTTTAGGGCCTTGGCCTCGAGGCTTGAGGGCAAAAGCCTTGGCCTTGGCCTTGAGGGTTCAGGGCCTTGCAATTTTGAGTCAAGGCTCTTCAAGGCCCATAGATTTTTGCATTTTCCAGATAAATCTGTTCGAAATTTTGCTGTTACCATTTTAATCGTATTACCATGGAGGAGGGAAGCACCCTATAGATTTGTGTGTTGGGCACACTTCCACTTTTGTAGCATCACATTTTGTTACCATTGTAGTATAGATTTGCTGCAAAAATATTCCGTACACTTGTGGGGCTAATGAGATGATCACTTTAATTGCATATAACTATGGAATAGATCTGATTGGTTGTATATCTCCGTGATAAGTGTTGGGCCAGCAAATAAAAATTTCCCAAATCAGTTTCTTGAATCCCCCTTTTGTTACACTTGGGAGAATTGTGTGTCAATATAGAAGTAAATCATTATTTTGTTTAGTTAAACCATATTGAAGACCTGAACTTATACTTTAATAGATACAATGCAGTCATAAAACGGTGTAGGCCTATGCGAGCATGTTGATTGCAATTAAAGAAATGTTGTTCTTCGTAACGAGCAATTCGTGATGATAAGGGCGGATCCAGGGGGGCCAAAAGGGGCCATGCCCCCCCCCAAAAAAACCCCCCGAAACCATATTTTTTTTTATGTGACGTCGTAATAAAGGCAGGCAATGAGTACACCACTATCTTTTCCTCAAAAAACATCGGTTAAAATGTTCAGAAATTGCCTCAAATCGCACCACAGAGCATCTCGAATCCAAAAATTTTTTCGGGGCCCTTAAGCGGGCCCCGAAGCCCAAGCCGTAGTTTTTGACCCACTTTTTTGGGGGGACCAAAATTTCTTTGGCCCCCCCCCCCCCCCCCCCCCCCCCCCGCAAATTGTGTTCTGGATCCCCCCTTGCGTGATGATGTGTCACTCATGTGACTATAATTAGTTCTATATTAGTGGTCATTTCATAAAACAGGGCCTTGGCCTTGGCCTTGGCCTTGAGGGTTAAGCCTTGGCCTTGAGGGTTAAGCCTTGGCCTTGGCCTCGAGCTTTGAGGGTCAAAGCCTTGGCCTTGAGGGTCCAAGCCTTGGCCTTGGCCTTGGCCTTGAGGGTCAAAGCCTTTGCTCCAACACTGGTCAGATCACTGATTGCGATCCGGATCTGCGCGGAACAAACAGGCCCTAAGACTGCTTACAATGAAACCAACATGCAGAGTAGGGCCCTGATTTGAAGCTTAATTTTGTTCATGCTAAACTGTTTTGCTATTTCAATGTTTAATGCAGTTTCATTCACAGACACACATCATTCACAGTTTTATTCACAGACACACCCAAAACTAAAGGCCAAAGAAATTATGGGTAATTGAAAACTACTAACAAATTATTTTGAGATTTGTTTTTCCAATGGAAACATATTGGTTGCTTTTGTCAACAAATTGGTTAAAAAAAAATTCACATTTTGAAATTTATTTTTTAAATTAGTTTAAGTATTAGCAATTAATTGTTAATTCAGAGTTGTGAGAACATAATTTGATTTGGCTCATTTGTGCAACTCTCAAAATTGAATCCTAAATTGATAGTTTTTGTTGTTGCTATTTTGATGACTCCAGTCCAATGAGGAATCCCTGAATCCATCAGAGATGCCAGGTACTCCGAGGTTCCACCTCGTCGCCTGCTCTAACCTCACGGTCAACGACGTCAACCCAGTCACCAAGACCCATGACTTGAGCCTGGAAACTGGTAAGCGTTAACCACTAATCATGCTTGTATGGCCAGTTCATACCAGTACTTTCATAACGTCAACAACTGAAGTTTCATTGTGATGTTCTCCCTGTTACCTTGATGAATTTGTTTGACACTGAAAAATTGCACGTAATGTACGTTTTCTCTGTTTTCACAAAATGTGTAGTATCCAGGGATCTGAAACTGTAACAGGATGCACCCCACTTCAAAAGCAATTTATCTTACAGATTTTTATTTAAATTGAGCCAAAGTCCTTCAAGTCATGGGCCTTCAACATTCCTGAGGCTGAACGCAGAGACAGAACTGAGTTTTATAAAAACCTCCACTTGTAGCTTTGAGCAGTCGACGGGAGCAGCATAATTGCCAACTCTGAGACAGTGGGAGCCAGTGACATTTGAAAGATGTCACTACAGTGGAACGTCGCTATAACGAACATTGTTATTAGCGACAGAAATTGATCGTAATAGCGATCGTTCGGTATAGCGATTTTACAAATTACTGGTGGCCTCTTTTGACCATTGTTGTAGTGTAGTTGCGTTTACAAACCACGCGCAAGGTCGCCAAATGTGTTCATTCATCTTTCTAATTCCGTAAGCAGAACTTCACCCTGTATGCCCTGGTAGTTACTGAAAGATGACTTTGTACACGTGCGACTATTGGATCATGTAATTATAATTTTTGAGCTTACACCGGTGGCTTTTTCCTTCATATCCATGGGGAAATAATAGCCATTTGTCGCTCTTCTGCTGACATTTTCCAACAACAATGTTCGGTACGTTTCATGCACAAAAATCGGGAGCCAAGGCTGATGTTCGGTATAGCGGAATGTTTGGTTTAGCCGAACGTTCGGTATAGCAATGTTCCACTGTATTGAGTTCCTGTAGTGGCCAACAGGCTCAGACTCTGAATCTGTTTGGTCATGGGATCGATATAATGGACCTGATAGATATTGAAAACACAAAGCAGGCAGCTTCCTTTGACATCTATTGTATGTTTTGAACAGTGTTTCTATCCAAGATACTGGGAGGGGTAAGAATTAATGTAGGTTTTAGGAGAACATTTCAATTTTTCTTATTCCAGGCCAAATAATTTAATTACTAACATTTTCTTTAGATATTTCATTTACAACTTAATAATTTATGTACATAGATGTTACCCAGATAAATGGTAATTTGTAAAATAGGGACCTGGAAGCATATGGATCATTCTATAAATTTGGGGTCCACTTTTTTCCTGCCCCTGTTACATCTGACATCAATGATTTTGTAATTCTGGATGCACCCCTTACATGTTCTCAAATTCCTCCAAGAGTGATTATGTGTTTGAAGTCATTAAAGGGTCCAGGCAATGAAATGTTATTAGGAATGGATTTGTACAACTTTCGACTCTTCTTAAATGTATGAAAACTATTTCACATTCCCTGTCGGTTAATTTTATTGAAAAATTGCACACCTTTAACCATTTAAACATTTTCCACGTTTTTCGAACAACTGAGGGTGCTGTTGCTGTGATGTCATTTCAGGAAGACACTGTTCAATTTAGGGATTTTCTGTTCATATTGTGAACCAAAAACTTATAGAATAACCCCATATTTGTCAGCCAATTTGTGTACTAAGTTTAGCTCCCAGAAAATAATCCCTGCTACTTTAAAACCATTCTTCTTAAATCTGTCTTGTCTCATTTTTTGATCTCCAATAGATGACAATGCTCGTCCCCATTGCCTTCCTCTGTTTGGTAATGTTTGCTGTCGCCTGGCTGCCCAGCCCAATTGCATGGCACAGAGTCTGTCCCAGGGAATTCTTCATTTACAGGTGAACCAGTGTTCAAAACTTGAGACTGTTACTAGCATATTTTCAGATCAGGGACACATTTGTCATGACTCTGATGAGTGAAATGGAATTACATGTAAATTCAATTTTATTCAAATTTAGGTTGTATATGTGTACTACCCTCCTGCTATCGGAAGTAACAGTCACAAACAGTTAAACAAAAATCAATCTTCTTCTTCTGCCATGCCTTTTACACTGGCTAGTCACCAACAGTCAGATCATATTTCAAGCAAGCACTTTGACTAGTAAATTCAGTCAACAGACAAACGCAGTTAAGTGGAAGGCGCAACTGGCTTATCAATCACCTACAGTCAAAGCATAGCTGTACCAAATTACATAAACAGTCACAGCCAGTCAATCCTCCTTTATGTAGGTCGGGAGCTCTTAACTGTTGAAAACAGTCACTTGATTGATTTTGACAGAGAGGACAACGTGGCACAGAATTAGTGTTTGCATAGGAGGGTGAATATAGTAGATATATTTCACTGTGCATTTTCCAGCTTCCTTCAGTTTATGACCAAAAAGTGGTCTACATTCCATGATTGTTGCATGCTATGCCAAGTGAAAAGTGCAGTCTCGTAGTTCGTCCAACAATACGTATGTATGGTCTCTGGCACTATGCAATGGTACATGGGTTCAAACCCAGACAGGGGAACATGGTGCTTGTGTTCTTGGGCAATACACTTTACAACAATTGCCTCTCTCAACCCTAGGAGTTTAAATGGTACATGTGAAAGTAGAGACCAGATTGCGCTGATCTCAAGCTGCTTCAGAAAAATGGTCTCATGGGCTGATGAACAGGGATAATAATAGTGAAGCTCTTTGAAACAGTGGTAAAAAGCGCTATATAAGCACCATGTTATTATGAAATTGCAACTTACCTCACTTTTGACAAGTGCCGAGAAAATTTAGTGGAACTGCTAAGGACAGAAATTTGCTAAGTATAGGCTTATGAATGTGTTATCCTGGTCACATATTTCATGTAGTCTCATAAGACCCCTGGTTTATATGTATCATGATATCTGATCAGGAGAGACAGGCTGGTCTTCCGAGTTGGCGGCGCAATCTCTGGGGAGTCCTGCAGGACGGACACCTCAAACTCTGGGACAAGGCAGAGGAAGTGTCAATCAGCGCTGTTCCCATTTTAACAGTTCCAGTCTCTAAGGTGAGGGGTTGACTATTTCTGCATTCTTCCCCCCCCCCCCAACTTCCTGTTCAGGGCAAATCAGGATCAGGATCTTCAGATGTACATGGAGCATACTTGACAACCACTTGTCATTATTGTGTTCTATATGAAAAGACACATACAACTTTGAAGTTGCTCGTCTTTGACAAGTCGAAAACTCCAGTCTCAAGTCAAGGAACAAAGAATCGTGTCAAGTTTCAAGTCAGTCTAGAAAAGGCAAAGTTGATTATGTGCACTAGTCAATCAATGCTACCTCCCGAGTGAAAGCTGGAAACACTCCAACTTTCACTTAGGCGGTAACACACTGAGTATACAGTGTTTATGCGTCGGTGAAGGGCAAAACCTAATATTGATTTACATCACCTAAACGCAAATTCTATCTTATGAATAGTTTGTCTAGTCAACTTTACAACATCTTGACCGCAACTGTAATTTTTATGTCATACACGTACCTTCAAGCGTGATCTGAAAGGTTTGTGTGACACTTACGTACAGTTCACTTGAATAAACTCCTAACCTGCTTGGTTTTCTTCACGTAGACCAGTATAAGCATTGTTGTAAAAAGGAGGGCAATGGGGCTATATAGATTCCTCCCCCCTCCCCCAACCACCAAAAATTGGGGGGGGGGGAATAAAAATTGAAATTGAAAAGTCCAGATATCCTCACTGTTAATATTTTTTTCAAGTTCAGAAAAGTTTTCTGAGCTTTGCGCAAAACCCTGTATTGAAATTACATCACCCGACACAAAAATCAAACTAAGGAATAATTTCAGTCTTGTAATGGAGTAGCTGACCTTGTTGGCAATGGTGATCTTTCCTTCTCAGGACACAGTCGTCAGTCTTTCATCCGAGTGCAGCGTAACCTACCCTCATGTTTTAGCAGTCGGCGAAAGAGAGAGTGAAGAGCGCCACCACTTGGCGACAGAGAGCAAGGGCGAGCTGGAGAGGTGGTGTAGTGCGCTAGAGCAGCTAGTGGTGGATCAAGGTATGGATTCAACTTACAGTAACTGCGGCAATCCAAAAATGTCATTTTGTCCTGATCCTTAACCCCTTTCAGTAATGTGGGGGGGGGGTGAAGTTTGTCTGATACTTCAGATTGGCTTGAAATTTTGTGACTTTTCCTAACTTTTACCTGGGGCCAATATGGTATGAAAACACATTCTGTGGGATTTTCATGGATGCCATGACAATGAACCTATTTAAACATTGAAATGTTCAGTTTTGTGTGTCTAAAGCATGTTTACTTTGCCCAAACCTATGAAGTATTCACTTTAGACTAAAATGCATTGGCGCGAAAAGCCACTATTAATTTTTCAACTTTTCTGCACAAATTTCTTGTTTGGGGCTACTTTTTTTAACACTTTTTGCATGAAAAAAAAATGCAAAGCATTTATAATATTTCCAAAAGTACTTCATCAAGCAACAAAAGGCCAATTCTGTTCACGTTATTTCGAGAGGCATCAAGCCACATGCAATATACAAGTTGCTGAAGATATATTCTTGAAGTTTAAGGGGTGAACACGGCAGGCTGTTGAGTGTAAATCATTGGTGTGGTTCAAGTGTGGGTCACCTCATGTTTATGTCCTGTGGCAGAATTTAGACATGCCAAGTTTTGAGGTACTATGTTTGATACGCACATTGGGAATGGATTTCCTGAGTGTCAACTCGGGAAATGCTGCTGTTGTTGGCAGATATTTGTAACCAGTTTCCACCATGAGACTTATGCTCTGGCAGAGTTGCAGTCCATCACAAGTTTATTAGAAGTCAATCACAAGTCATCGAGTCTTAAGTCAAGTGATGAGCAATTTAAAGGAACAGACAGTTTACGCATTCCCATTGGTCGAGAGCCCGTCACATGGCCGGTCTTAAACGGATGATAAAGACCGGCTGGCTGGTCTTAAACACTTTTCCAGTGTCACATGAAATTTGGACTCCTATGAAATCCAGTTCACAATCCTCACGTAGGCATGTGCAATACTACCAGTGAGTCAGTATTTCATAGTCCTAAATTCACAACGCACTCACCACAGTTGCATCTGCGCGTTATCGCGCAATACGCTGGTGATGTGCGTGCCAATCTCCATAAAAGGAGTTGTTTACGTCTTACTCGCAGCTGAGCTGGACACTCCATTATTTAGCTAGAGGGATGTTTCGAAAAACATACATTGTGTAGTAAAATTGTTTAACAAAATTGTTGGAAACTTTTAATTTTTAGCTTGTTTTGACATTTGGACCGAAAAAGTTTTTTTTTTACCAAAAAGGCATTATGAAATTTATGGGAATAAATATTATGTGCTTGGTAGGTATTAAACAGAGATGCCACGGTTTTTTTGGCCATAAAAAAAAACTGGAAAAAGAGAAAAGAAACTGTGGAAATGCCTTGATTTTTACCTCGTTAGCACTCTCGAGTTTACATGTTGTACTTGCACGCGGTATACAACGGCGCCTCGCGTGCTGCGCTGCATGCGGGCGTGTAGTGTGCTAAGCACACAGGGCATTCAGCCTGGAAATCAAGTCTATCATTTCAGTTATCGGTGGTTCCCGATCGCAGTGATATATGTGAATACAAAAACGCCGGGTACCAACCATGTTTTCGTTGCGCGCATCGCATAATGCAAAGGTCATGTACACCGACAGTGTTGTGGAATCGTGCATGGTCGGTGAAATATTACGTTGGAAATTCGGGTAGGCAGAATAAATAATAGGACTATGGAAAAAATTAAAGTGATTGAACAAACCCACAGCTTATTCCTAACTCCCTAGCTTGATTTATTAGGAACCATACCCATCTTGTCAAATTCCAGCACCATATGGGAAACTTTACACACATATTTCTGACTTATTTCTGATTCTGGAGGTGTGCCAACCCAATGTAAAAGACTGTCAGTTAAGGGGCACTGTACCCATCCTAACAGATTCCAACAAAACATGCCGTTGGGGTTTGATGGGTTGAGTTCTGTTAAGGTTAAAGGCCATAGTCTAGAAGCAAAAATAAATGGAACTGGGCTTGGCTACAACAAGAGAAAGATGACAACAGGGACTTTGTGTCGGAGTGGCTTTTTCACAAAGTTCCGTTTTTTTCAAGCAGCTGCTCCGTTTTTTTTCAAGCAGGCCCAGTTCCGTTTTTTTTCAAGCAGACCCTGTGGCATCTCTAATTAAACACTGTGTTTAAGACTAGTTGGAGTCTGGATGCTGATAATTACCCTCGCCTTCAGCTCAGGTAATTATCAGCATTCCAGACTCCAACCAGTCTTAAACATAGTGCTTAACACCTCCCAAGCACACATTTATTTCCTTAGTAACATAGGGGGTGTGGGTTAGAATTAGGAATGAACCCAGAAGAGGCGTGAGGATGACTGCTTTTAAATCAATACTGCTACCTCCTTTCCTTCTATGGATATGTGAAACATGAAATAAAAGCGAAATAAGAAAATGGGGAAACAGAGTGCCCCTAGCGTTAAATGAGGTCCAGCTCCAGCCCCTCCAGCCCCTTTCAAATTTGCAACTGCCCCCCCCAATAAAAACAATATAAAAAATTGGGATTTTGAAACAAACTGGGCAAGAACCAGTGCATGCATCAATGTGTTCTTCCTTGGCTCTCAATTCCTGCATGGAGCTTGTACTTCTCTACTAACTGTCCCTCCCTCTCTATGTCATTTTCCAGGAGCCTGGCTGAATGCTTGTCACACTTCAATAGGTATCCTCCCCTCGGAGCATAGGAGGCCCTCTGTGGAATCTGATCGCACAGGCTCCCTCTATGATGAAATGTCAATAAGTAAGTTATGTCAGCAGAACTTAATCAATTGGAAAGCAACATGATTGGTTGCAGATAATGGTAACCATTGACAAAAAAGGTCTTTTTTGCCGATTAAAGTAACAACAATATAATAAATCTCTAGCAGGTTATTAAAAACCACTTATTTTTTTTCAACAATATAATGACAAATTATTTCTAAGACGATTCTCTCCTGAGTAGGCGATACAGTCCGTGCTGTGCAGGAGAAACACATCTAAATCAAATAACTGTAAACCAAGACCAAGTAACGGGGGCACTTGAACTCCTTTTTTCAAATTGTGTCTTTGGTCACCCTACATGACTAGGCCTCGGACTCGGGAGGGGTGACTCAGACTCACAGACTCGATGTTTGGTGACTCGAATACAAGTCTGATGATTGGGTAATTCCAACACGGGAGTCTGTGACTAGACTCACTAGACTAGTCAGTGTTTGGTACCAAGACGTTCACATGAAAAGTGGACATGAACTGGCGAGACTTGCATGCTCTGTTGTCAGAAAGTCAGTAGCATGTAATAAGTTACATCGGATTGTATTGTACATGTAGTTTGTTTTTCGTTGACGCACAAGGATCACAAACAACCTTTCGCCTTGCCTAACAATTTTTCTCATTTTCCTCAAACAGTCCCGTTTTTAATGAGGCAAAGAGTGCATGGGAAAACTTACATTGATTGAAGGCCAGTTTCCTGCCCAAGTCATTTGGCATGCTCGTATGGTTTCAAGTTTGGGGGGGGGGGTATGTCAGAGACACTATCTGCTACTGCTGTTTTGCTGATGCCTGACGGCTGGTTTCGATTCCACTAGGCACGCAGCAATCTGGTCACAAGCACAATTCGTGGGAAGCGGTCACATTTTCACAGATATTTTAATTTTTTGTTGTTGAAGTGTTTTGAAATCAGGTCTTGCGTAAACAGCGCTATACAAATGACCTTCTTGTATTGTATTTTATTGAAGACTGTTGTTGAAATCTTTCAGTATTAATGCGAATAGCAAACAAATTACAGTAAGCCTACTTTTATACCTATGCGTGAAATGGTCTGGTTCTTTGTTATCTAAATGTGAAATGTGTTCATTCTTATGCCTAAGTACTAACTCACCTATACAGCATGGTTAAAACTACTTCTTCATTGTCATAAAGACTTGTAGATTGGCAGTGAGGCAGTATTTATCTTAGTATCCTCATAATAAGAGGGCGTTAATAATATCCAAGATATTGTAGAATTCCTGTAGACGTTTCAAAGAATTTGGTAGTCTTACCATTGGGCTTGATGTCCCTTGGGAGGTATTAACTTAAGAATGTGTCATTGTTTTCTGCCTCGTGGAGATTTTTGAAGATTCAGAAAGGTCCTTAGCACAAAAAAAAATATTAAAATGAAGAAGAAAAGTAGATTAGGGTTAATCAGAGATTATCTTTTTTCATCCTCTTGACCAGGTGCAGACTTACCGAGCCAAGACGAGTCTGATGATGAGAATGTGTTTGTAGACTCACCAGCAACAAATCTCAGACCAAGGCCGCAGCTGACCAAAGTAAAACCATTCAAGAAACCCATATTTACAATTCCAAAAATCCTGGTGCGAAGGGAGACTAATGTTTGAGGGATTCTCTTGTTTGTCAAAAATGAGTTTACAGAAAGAGAAGGTAAAAACGGAGGTAATATGAAGAATTTTTTGGGGGGAAAAAAAAACAGATGTTGTGTGAAAACGGGTACAAGTCTGGTGTGGGGAATAAAATAATTCTTTTTGTGTTTAAAGGAAATGGTTATTATGTCATGTTCGTCAATTAAGTTCTTAAAAAAGACAATTAATCAATCAATCTTTTTCCTTTAAAAAAACATGGAAATGATAGTTAAACAAAATGTATATTTGGGCATAAGGCCACCCTAGCGGAAATCCATAGGTATTTATGGAAAAGAACTTAAACAGTCAAGTAAGTAAGTGGACTTGCACATGATTTTTGTGTTACCAGCACGTGAAATCTGGCTTCTGAAAAGGTGTAGTTTTCCTGTTTTGTGAATCAGCCAGGAGTCAAACATATTTTATTCTAAACTGTTATTATTTCAAACCTGTGTGTTTTGAAGGACTAGTACGATTCCTCTCAGAGGGCTCGGGGAGGGGGATGCACCTTTGTTTGAAGGGGCACCTACCCGCGATTTATTTTCCCAAACAACATTTATATTAGCAAATGGGGTGTACGCTATGAGGTATTGGACTTGACTTCCCTAAAAACATTTTAAAAAATACATAAAAGAATAAAAGAAATGAATTTGAACCTTGAAATTCGGACTTTATTTCCCTTTAAAAAAAAAAATCCTCCGAAGCCGCAAATTAGAAAAGAAATTTTTTTAAAACTGTGGTTTTGAACTCACACCCTCATATGATCTCAAAACCATGGCTTTATCCAGCTGAGCTGTCGGATAGCTCAACAGCATACCATAATTCATGGCATTATATACCTGCGTACGTATATAAGGTATTGTAGCTGGAGCTCACCAACCATCCATTCAATGTTGTTTGGAGAAAAAATAATTGGCCACCTGCCCCCACCTAGCCCCCACCCGATGAAGGATTGTACACTACTTGCCTTGAAAAGGAAACTGACTGTGGACTCAGTTGGCAATTTGATGGCAAGGATCATTTCATAAAGAAAAGGGTTGTGATGAAATTCCCATCCTAATTGACTGTCTTGTTCTGTCAGTAAAGTAATGGATTTGTATGTCATGTTGAGTATATGTGATTGTGAACTTCACTATCCAATGACTGCAGAGTCTGGCAAGTCTTAAAAGTTTTGTTATTTTGTTAAAATGTACAATAGTAGATTCTATCCCGACAAATTGTATGGAGTGGATTATTTTAAGCCTACAAGGTTGCCTACTTGCCTTTCATATTATTTTTCTCATAGATTTTTCAACTTTGGGTTCTTATATTTAATTTCTTTGACCCCAAAAGAAATTGTTTTTATTGAACATATTTTTATGTAGTCCTGAAAAAAGTGCATGTTTAGAGTATTCTAGACCCTCAACTAAGTCTGTCTTTTTGTATTTGAATTTTACTGAGGTTATGAAGACTTTTTTTTATACAGAGGCCGAGTTTATACGACCATTGAACTCCTTTTATTCCTATGGACTACTCGCTTACCATAAAAACAGTTAAAAAGAGAAATAGGATTGATCGTTTTCCATTATTTTACTAATAATAAAATATAATACACTTATAATACATTTTAATTGTTACAGACAATGTACCTAAATAGGACTTTTTTATAACAATTAACTTGGTATGGAAAATTATTCTTGACGGGTTATGTCCCGTTGATAAACACATTTCTTGTTTGAATGGATTTAAAAACAAAAAAGAAGTAATCTTAAGGTAATTTTGTTTTTAAGACGTCAAAGTTGAAGAAAAATAATGTTGTTTTTGTTTTAAGAGAACTATGCATTGAAAAAAAATATTTTCTTATCCTAGCATGTTTTATAAGTCTGTTAATTGAATCATTTTGTTTCAAAGAAGTTACTTTACTTATCTCAGCTATAATCTCTAATATGACCTCCCAAAAATGCGTTTTAATGAGTATCGAAACAGAGTTAATTAGTAAAGTTATTCACATTATTTGAAAATTGACAATATTGCATTTTAGGAAGATTCATGGAAAAAGTGGAACCTCAATTTGGTAAGGAAAAAAACATTATTTATTACAAAATATTTAACTTTGTACAAAACGTAAAATTGTTCGTGTCATTAACATGGAAGAAGTGATGTATGTTTAAATTGATGCTTAAAGTTGCACCACCCATGATAATTAACATTTTTAATTTTTTTTTCTCATAAACTTTTTTTAATTTAAAAAACAGAAAAAAAACCTACATTTTTCCATTTTGGACATTATCAACCCTGGGATTGCTTTTGCGCCCACAACACACAAAAGATATGCCTGATTTATCTTGTTTTCCTTGAAAAGTTTATTTGTTCATATACATTGTGATTTGTTTCTCATTCTATACAATTCCATTACAATTGTATCATACATGTTGTAATTACAATTATATAATCAGAAGTTGTATAATCAAATTGCATGTTAATCAAACAACGGCTTGTAGTAGAATTACTGAGGTATTAAATGCAATTATGCATTTATTTCATTTATTTGTTGCCTTTTGTCTTTTTCTTATGTCATACGGATATACATGTAGGTGAATATGCTGCTACTATGGCCATAATCGCAGGAAACTTTCATACAATTGATATTTTGTCATTTTAGAAGTAATTTATGCACGGCCCTTGGCACTTGTTGACTTAAATTACAAACACCCATGAAAATGGCAAGTGGGTTTACATGTTTCAAAAGTTTTTGCGTGTTTTATTTTTCGGTATTAACGAATTATCTCATTGAAATAAGGTATTAGAAAGATGACAGGAATATTATGTAACATATATTATGTATGCTGCCTTGAAACATATCTTGTTCAGTTTCCAAAAACTAGGTCTAACACCTACACTAGCTTCATTATTTATACCAGAATAATTTAGGAACCTGCGGTACATCTGGAAACAAAATTAACAATGATGTTCAATCGCAGAAAACTAATACATTTATACTGGGCCGGTGTCTTCCACGTCAGAGACAAGTCATTTAATTGGAATCTGGAGCTCGAAGCCAAGCCGAGGTTTGGCAACTATGGTTAGTGTTAGTTAATTATTGTATTATTAACTACGGAGGGCGCCCTTTTCATATTTTGTGTGTGTACGTGCAAAACTCAAGATCCTGGAGTTGGCCTCGTATTCAACTGAGATTTCATCAGAAGTTTTAAAGGTTAGTCGTGAGATTTTGGATGTCAAAAGACAGATTATTTTGAAAAGGATATTATGGAGTTATTTAGCTTGGCAAAACACTTGTTCTTTTAAGTTATGTAAATGAAACCGGGGTGAAAAACAAAACGGTTTTGCCGAAATCTAGACGGTAGACCCGTCATGCCCGTGAAATTTAGAAAGTGACGTCAATAGCAAAGCCACGCGTATTCCACTGTATTCTGTGGGTGTGTAATCCCGGCCAAAATGGTTGGGACACTTCTTGAGCCTGCCACGCGGTCACCCACTCCCCTGCTCCCCCGGTCAATGTTGTTCTCCCCAGCTGATGGAGCACACACTGCGCAATGAGAGCGACTCCCAAAAAAGCGACTGCATATCCCCAGTTAATGAGTTAGACCCGTGAACGTGGCTATACAACGCCATGCTCTAGTATCATTTCGAACCCTAGTGAAATTCCTCCATGATCTGCGGTACATCATTTCGTATGTAGGTTGAGAACTTACCTAGAAATCTTTGTGTGCTTATCCGCGTGTTCAGGAAGTGTCATTTGGAAGAAATTTGGCAAAAATGAAGACCCATACGAATGTGTAGAAATACAATTTTAACGTTAACTGGACAAGTACCCAGGGTGAATTGCATGCAAAATTATCGGAGCCCTCCGAGCTACCCATCTGCTTCATGTGATGCATACGATTATGGTTGTTGTCACTTGGACAGATTGACGGCTGTTTCATGTCGCATCCCAGATCCTGTGGGAAGGACGGCTACTAATCCTACATCTTTTTTGTCCACAAGAAGACCTATGGATTGTGTTTGTGGCGAACTTAATTGATACTCCCAGTTCACCAACAAGATCAGCAAGGATTTTTCCATGCCTGGGCTTTTTTTTCTGATTTTAGTAGCAGGTGTATTAGCTAGAGCATGAAGAGCAACTGTTCAATTTTGCCAATGTATCAAATGGCACAAGAGGTGAAAAGTGTAATGACTGCAAGTAAGATGTAAATTTGCTGTGCAGTTTTTGCTTTATAGGAATTCCTTGTATTTTATAAAGTAGGTCCTTGTTATTTGTTCAGAAAAATAAAAAAATAAGAATTCCTCTTATTTTCGCGTTGCGGCAAGCAGTAGTGCGCCCGCGTGCGGTGCGGTGAGAGAGGAAAGGACTGGAAACTTGTCTAAAATGATGTCTATTTAACCTGCGACAGAAAACAGCCGTCGAATCATATGCAACAAGAAGGTATAATATAAAGCGCATGCATCAGTTGGGGAAAGTCCAACCTCGTCTCCACTTCCTGCTTCCTATTGGAAACGAGTTTGGAAAGAAAGTAAGCACTAGGGACGAGGTTGGTGTGAGTCCAGGAAATCACATGAATCAGAAGGAGGTTGCAGGACGTCGAGATCTTGCCAATTCTTGGGCCAGATTTTACGTCAAATTTCGTTCAAATGCAAGATTTGCCGTAAAAGCAGATTTCAAGAAGTTTCATATGTGAGTGCTTATCACATGGTAAAATAATGTTCAGTTTGTGTCATGAAGAGACGATTTCGCTAGGTTCGAAATGGTAATGGAACGTGGCGTAGTTTACAAGCCACGTTCACGGGTCTATTCCCCTGTGTATTACAAAAATGGTCCATTTTCCCCTATTATTATCCCAACCCAGATTCCATATCCATACCAGCATGCGGCAGTCATTCATGAAGCTAACAATCAACCTCAATCAACAGAACAAGAAAGACTAAAAGTAAAATATGAAATTTGTGGATGATTTTGGTGGCGATTCTCCACACAAATCCATTGCTGAGGCTGTCGTGCATGTTTTCTGTACGTATCATGAATACCCATGAAGCACGTCGCGAGCATGTCCCTTCATGCAGTGTGCGCACCAAAATTGAAATCACTAGTGCGCCTGAAAGTGGTATGGTACCCACATACATCGCGCACACTGCATGAAGGCACATGCACACGACCAGTGGGTGGAACGATTTCAAAAATCTATTGAGATCACGCAACGCTTCATGGGTATTCCTGATACGTAGAGATGACATGCACGACAGCCGTGGCAATTGAAGTTTTCTGGAGAATCGCTACCAAAATCATCCACAGATTTCATATTTAAGTCTTTCTTATTAGCTTCATGTTACAGTTACGCATGTTACAGTTACGCATGGCGTTGTTATTGACGTTGGCAAAAATGTCATAGTAGAACAAAAAAGAATAAATGTTTAGCACAGCGCGGATTCAATCCCATGACCTTCAGCATGGTAGTCAAGCATTTAACCAATCGAGCTTGCAAAATGCTTTGGTTGGAAGGGCAGCTATAATGTTAAAGATTCGCAATGATGCTTTTGCATTGCCATGACAATAGCAGTTACGATAGCCAGTTAGCCACTACGAAAGAGGAACTGACTAATTATGATCCTTATTCATTATTTTCGAATCAGGTTGAAGCCCTCATAATCTTGAACCATGGGAACGTGGCCAGGACATGCTTTGCCAGGTGCTTTCTTTATTCTGTACGCCATCTGGTGGATGGTCCAGTTCACCTATGAGAAGGTTGCTCTTGACAACGGGCGGTTGCAGCCCTCTGGTCGCATCCTTCGTCGATTGCATCGCTGGCCTATCGAGGGGGCGACCATTCTGGCAGCGGGGATCATTGGGTTTATAGCTGAGATGATGTACCCTATCCCCAAGTGGACTCTGATCGGCGCTGATGGTCAGTTCAAGCATCCAGCTGAGTGGCAGCACTGCACCATGTACACATTCTTCTCGGTGTACGGCTTGGTGGTGACGCTGTCCAAAACCTGCCTGCCCCAGGCCGAGCGCTACACCAAGATCTTTGGTAGTCTGGCATTCTTCATTGAAGGTATGCTGTTCTACTTCCACACCCATGGCCGAGCGGATCTGGATATCCACCTGCATTTCCTGCTGGTCATCGCCATAGCCTTCTGCGTCATCTTAACCCTGGCTGAGGTCTGGTGCCCGAAGGACGACCGCATCCGAGTCATGCGCTACACGGCCACACTCCTGCAAGGCACCTGGTTCTTCATGGTGGGCACCGTGCTATATTGGCCACCCTCCGGTAAGGAGTGGGACGAGGAGGACCACCTCAACGTGATGTTCATCACCGTGGCATTCGCCTGGCACCTCCTCTTTGACATCATCATTATGGTGGTTGTCTATGGGGTCATCAGGAGCCTCCTACATCTGATGGGGTGTGCTGGTGTGCGGTATCGGCCCATGAACAACGGTGCAGAGGAAATTGAGTTTGAAAGCACAAAGCTTATGGACAATGGCAAACCAGGTCATGTTGGATCAGACGTTGAGAGTGACTAGACGTCTGTCAGTCATGAAGCCAAAAAAGTTCCTACATTGTAAATTAGTACCAATTCAATTATAAAGAATGTAACAATTAAAAGTCTGTATTCGAAGCTTGACCAAAGAAATTGTAAGATCTTACAAACCAAGGCTGTGCTGAATATTTGTAGTATTCGATCATCCACTGAACATTTTTCCGATTCAAATACTCAATCAGTGTGATGTCATTTAAATGGGATAAAATATCATTTAAAAAAATTGTTTAGTATCAACAGCTAGTCAGCTACAACAACAAAAATATCTTGAGATACACACATGAATGTCCTTAATGGTTTAATATAAAGCTTGTTGTGCATGCAAATCCTGATCAGTCAATCATTTAATTCCCGATGAATGCACGCAAATTTTAACCAGGGTGTGTGCATGCACCTCCTGAATGGCACAGACTGGCACATGCTGACACATACATATGCAGTTTAGGCTGATGCATGTGAAACGTGCTAAGCATATTTGAATGTTTGATGGAATCCAAGTCTGAAAATCTAATACTAAATATTACGAAATGCACAGCCCTACAGTTAATGATTAAAGTTAAAAAAATTGTTGTGGCATACCGAGGTACCTTATATATATTTGTCCAATATAAGTTACAAACTACAAAGAATTGATTTGAGTCCAAGAATTTGTCACATAATATATGTGCTACTGTAAATTATTTTTCAAGCAATTTATTTTCTTGTTATAACCTGAAACTGCTACATTTTTTCCTAACAACCTCTCGGAGTTTGCTAAAATCAAACACTGCGGATCATACTTTTTACGTCATCAAAATTATCACATAAAGCCCCATGGAAAGTGACGGTGCTGACATTGTACAGTACTGAATCCTTTAAAATCAAACTAGTTTGATTTTGGCATTTGGGAGGATTAGGAATGAGGCAAAGCATAGGCCTGTATGTGCATGTGTAGCAATTACAAAGTGTTCATTAATCACATGGTAATTTTGAGAAGGTTTGTGTTCTTTAATCTTTTTATTGATTCAGGCTATTCTAAAAAGGGCAAAGTTCAAACTTGTGGTGGAGCACTTTGTACCAAAGTACAAGTACATCTAAACATGACTTTGGCACAGTGGAATTGTCAATTTCAGTTAAAGTTTGGCTCTCTTTAAGCTCAGTCCCTGTTGTATATTTGCATTTCAACAACTGAGTGCTTTGTCTGTTTTTAACAAGTAAACCACGATGAGTCAGAAACAGATGGTCAAAAGTGTACGGCGTGTGATACCACAGACTACTTGTACTATGCCATTGTATGCAATGTGAACCCTAAACCTTGTTTAATTAATAGATTTTGTACCTGCACTCCAACAGATTGCAGCAGTCGAACCAACATAATCCAACAAGTTGCATAAGCCTTGTTGAACAGATGATCAAAGTCCGACAAATTACAAATTACATGCACAGTTCTTGGACCTTGTTTGTCTATAAGGCATGCATGTAGGGTTAATATGGATAAGTCATGTAAATAGCTGCACACAGAATACATGCGCAGTTGACAATGAACACACTACACATGTAGGTTGTAAGCTTTGTTTCTCAACTTTTCATTGTGTATCCAATGGTGTCAAAATAAAACCACACACACAACAAAATGCATACAGATACAGAGTCTAAATTGTCCCTGTACAAAACTTACCTATGGACAATAAGATATTTATTTTCTGCCTATTAAATTGATGGAATATTGGCCATTGATGGACGTTGTTCTCTGTTGCTTCACTTTTCACATAAATCTATTGACCTCTGTGTCCTGTTGATACTATTAATTAACATATTCTGTGTGCACATGGTTGTGGGATTTTTTTAATAGGTGTCAAATTTTTTTTGAATGGTAATTGGGTAAAAGTTTTTTGTCATAAACTGTCATTTGCTTAGTTATAATAGAGCAAGTGTGCTCTCTCATCTATAGCAAAGAATCTACATTTAGTTGGCATGTGTGTAAAATTGGTCACATAAATTGTATAGCACCACTTAAAAAAACAGTAGAACTAGAAAAAAAAACACCTAGATTTGCCATTGTGTGTGTTATACGTATACATGTACATATCAGCTGATCTACATTCCGTCATATAATATGTGTTAAAAAAATGTTCTTTTTTGCAATCTAATTACAAGACAATGAAATTATTTATTGAGATGCATATTTTTTTTGGATTGATTATGATTGTTTTATCCAGGAAGTTATCAATTTGAGTAGTGTGGATTATGAGGCATTTATTCAAAATAATCCAAAGAATTTATTAATGAACACGGATAGCTGAGAAGTCACTCGAAAGGCTGCAGACTGCATGATGTGTTCTGAAGTGAAATGAAACATACTGGAAACAATCATTTTTAATTTTCTTAATTCATTGACAACTGCTTGGGCCAAAAAAAAAATAATGGTTCTGCTTCCGGTTTCCCTACCTACGCTATTCTGACAGCCCCTACCCTAATTTTTTTTATTGGAAAAATTAGAAAAAAATCCAAAACCATCAATTTCAACCTTTTACCCTTGACTACACACAGCCACCTCCATATGATCGTACACAAAAACAATTTGCAAAAAAAACCCCAAATCCCTACCTACCTACCCTATTTTCAATTGTTATGTAATCGGAAGCAGAAGGGTTTTTTTTGGCCTTGGTAGAGGGCTACTGCTAACATTGTATGGATTAGTTGTATGGATTTCACAGATATATTCTTTGTTTTAAATGTTTATTTTTCCCAATTCAGCTTTTGCAACTAGGTATTTAAATTCAGTACTTGTGAAAATGTATTCCACAATTTCTTCTGGGATTGTTTACTGGTTTTGTAGTGATGCCTTTTTCCTATTCCAATACCTTTTAATGCATATTGAACAGTACGCTATTGCAGCACTTTCATTCAAATGTTTATTGAAAAATTGTACCATGGATGCTTTCTTTTTTGTGTATACATTTTGAGATGATTTATTTGTTTTGATATTTGATCTTATAGTTAAAAATTTTGAGCAATGAATAAATTTTGAAAACAAGTTGCAGAGTAGAAATGAAGACAAAAGTGTTGTTTGTTATCTTCTTGGAGTCATTATTTGTTGAGATTTTGGAGCTTCAAGGTCACATTGGAAGTTCACACTTTGGTCAAGCCAGCTACCAAAACCTTCAGACCTCATCAAGTGATAAGGATGTTTATGTAGTCAAAGTTTTTGGTTTTTTCCCTTCTCGGCCCCTTCCCCTCCACACCACCCCTCCGCTCCACTGAGGCCAATTTCAGTGAGTCAGTAAGCGCAGACAGTTGCAAAATAATATGAACATTTTCTAAGTTGAAAAAGGTGAGCAACCAAAATGTCATATCTTTCCACAGAATTGCATTGTTCAGCGATGATTCTGCTTGTAACTGAAGTCTAGTTCTTGTACTGCACAAATTGTGCATAATTTTGTACTTTGATGGGCGGGGCTTGAAAAGGAATTTTTTTGGGGGGGGGGTCATTACTAGGATCATAACTAGGAGCATGGCGCGAGTAATAAGTAGAAGGGACGCAACCTGACCCAGAGTTGAACGCGGACTCAGAAATACTTAGTTTTACGGATTATTATGATGAACGCAGAAAGAAAGTATGCTTGTATGGGGAGGGGCCGCATCAGGCTAGGCGTACGTGACGATGCATGTACGTTGCGAAAACTAACGTAAATATAGGATGGTCTCTGTTTTTATATTCTATCGTGTCCAAAGGATTTGATTCTAGGAACCAGACTCGAAGGTTGGGTGACCGTTTTAGCCGAATTTCGGCTAAACTTGACAGGTTTTTTCGAGAACAACTGAGTTTGACAGGAAAGTTAGCAGAATGATTTTTTTGGCAGATTTCGATCAGAATTCTGTAAATTAATGTGGTGATCTGACAGAAAATATATGGCAGATTTGAAAAAAAATGTAGCTGATTAGTTTTAATAAGCTTCAATATGAGGTTCCTGACGTGTGGTGGTACACAGTATGGTACTTGGTTTAGACCATTGCAAGCCAGGCTACACACATGCAACTTTTTTTTTTAAATTTGTTTGTTTTGATTTAATTTAAATTGTATGACTTTTGTTTTTGTGTAAGGAAACATCTGCATGTGACTAAGTGTGGCATTAATGTATTTCGTGTTAAAAAAAGAAGAAGAAGAAGGTGATTTGGCGTGTTATAAGGCCAAAAAAAAAAATCTCCGGTTTCTGGTATGCGCGCACGTCGCCGTAGCCATGCACGTCGGCAAAATGAAAAAGTTTTTTTTTCAATGAAAGATGATGCCTCAAAACCGCCAAACTCACTGGTTTGACTGGAATTCTGCTGCTGCGCAATTTCAACGTGTTTTTAGATGGGGTCATGATCGAGAATAAGCTTTATGTGGCCTCTCTGGACTGCCATATATTTGCACTAAGTTTAGTCGGGCACCATTTGCAGTCACCAGCCGACATTTGAAGCAAAAAAGTCAGGTAAAAAAAAAAAAAAAAGCCGCGTCGCCGCACCACTTTTTGGACAAGCTCCATACCAGAAACCGGAGACTTTTTTTTTTGGCCTAATAGGTGATTTGTGAAATCTAGCAGATTTGTGAACTGCATCTAGCAGAATTGTGCCATTACCTTACGGTCACCCTGCTCGAAGAATCACACGAGAAATGTAGGCCACGAAGTTGATGCGTGGTTTCATTTTCAGAACGCTTAAAAAAGCGTACGTTTCCTCAAAACTGTGGCATTTGAGGAATGATATTGTAGTATTGGCTATAAGGTGTGAAATAGAAGCTGAATAAGTCCAGTGTGTGGACGGTAATCGGTGAAATCATGGGCACGTTTGCTGGCCATGCCCTTCCGGGTAGCTTCTTCATTCTGTTCTCCATATGGTGGATGATACAGTACGCATACGAGCAAATCGCATTGGACAACGGTCGACAGCAACCACGAGGCCGAATCATGCGGACTCTCCACCGCCTGCCCATCGAGGGTATCACGGTGGTCCTGGCTGGTTTCATCGGGTTCATTGCAGAGAACATGTATCCCTCCCCCAAGTGGGGCATCTTCGACAAAGACGGGAATTTTGCCTACACCCATGTCTGGCAGCACTGCGAGATGTACACCTTCTTTGCTCTCTACGGCCTCGCCGATATCCTCTCCAAGACCTGCATGCCAAAAGCCGAGAAGTACACCAAGATCTTGGGCAGCTTGGCATTCTTCGTGGAAGGGTTGCTGTTCCATTTCCACACTGTCGGGCGCACCACCATCGATACTCATCTCCACAATCTTCTGGTGTACGCCATCGCTGCTTGTGTGGTGCTCACCCTGGCTGAGGCATTCTACCCTAAGGAGGGTCGATTCCGCGCCCTGCGTTGTGTGGCAGTCCTCCTGCAGGGCACCTGGTTCTTTCAGGTGGGCACGGTCCTCTACTGGCCACCATCTGGGAAACCCTGGGATGACGAAGACATGGCCAATCTGATGTTTCTGACGGAGGCTTTTGCCTGGCATCTCCTGGTGGATATCCTCCTCATGTTGATGGTCTACGGAATCTCCTGTCTTGTCCTGAAGAAAACCGGACTCACTGCTGTCCACTACCGCAAAATGAATGGCATAGCTGATGGTGAAGACATCGAATTTGGCACAAGAGTATTACTGGACAATGGTGCACCGAACAACCTGGATTCTGACAATGAATTATTTGACAGCAGTCCTCATTAAAGTACAAGGCATGGGCATGATGAAATCACTCTGTAAATCTCTAAAATTGCAACTGTCTTGCTTAACATTATAAATGTCAAATTTTTAAAAATATGGAAGAGTAGTTCAAGCCTTGATACACTTAATCACATTATTGCATGTATTTAGTAGGGCCGCAATCAGCACATTAATCAAAGGATGTAGAGCTGTAGCCTTGATATCATGTAGCAGATCACAGTCCCATTGAAAGGTGCTTATTAACTATTGTGTTATTCATATTCTTGCCAGCATGCAAATTTTCCTCAAATCAGCTGATTTCCTCGTTTTTCACATCACACTAACAAAGAGTTCTGTGATCTCATGGTCTGGTGTGTTGTATTTCCTTCCTCCATGGCTTAACTCAAGATCATGTGGTTCTTAATCAAATTAGGTTTTGCCCTTTACCGACGTTGAAACACTGTATTCTCAGTGTGTTACCTCTCGAGTGAAAGTTGGGGGGAAAAAAACCCACTTGGGTGGGACTCGAACCCATGACCTCCTGCTTTCTAGTGCAGGCGTCTTACCACTCTGCACTAGAAAGAAGGAGGTCGTGGGTTCGAGTCCCATCCGAGTGGATTTTTCCAACTTTCACTCGGGAGGTAACACTCTGAGTATACAGTGTTAACACATCGGTGAAGGGCAAAACCTAATTTAATTAATATCACCCCGACGCAACATTCCATCTTATAATATCATGTGGGTAATTCTGCAGATTGTAGAGTCCAGTCTGGGGAGTTGTGATTTGTGTAATCTTGGGCATAGCCTTGGGCAAGACACTTTATCCCTTTTTTCATCTCATTACCGAGATGTGAAATTGGTACCTGTGAGGGCAGAGATTGTTATTGAGTTTGAATAACCTGTTTGTCAAATTGTGCTGAATTGAAAGAGCAACATTACAAGCTGATACTCCTTTGGAGCTGAGATTTTCTTACTAAGGCATGATATATATAAGCCAAAAATGAAGGAATTTAATTTACATGTACATGTAATAGGCTTTGATCTTGTACAAATGACCAAAAAAAATACCTTTAAAGGTAATATACAACATTTTCTTTTGCTGTAATTTTCAGAAATGGATGGATTTGGGGGTTAGTATTTTTATAGCAAATATTGTTACTCTGTCCTGTTATAAATTTTTGTGTCCATAGATGCTGGAAAAACCCAGAAAAAATGCTGTTCTTGTAGTCTGGTTCCCTGACCCTACTTCAGACGAAACTGGGCAATTTATAGAAGTCAGGGAAATATCAGGTCAGGGAAACAGACTAGCTAACAATATAGATTTATATAGCGCACTTATCCGGAAACCCAATCAAGGCACCTACACACACAAAAATAGTCAAGCTCCACTCATTGTGAAACAACTAGCTTTCATCCATTCACGGATTTGTAACCAATTGCAAACAAATTTTGGGCAGTACATGTATTTGAAAAAGGTCAATTTTTTTCCAAATGATTTGTCAACCAATCGTCGTTGAAAATTGAAACAAAAATTCCTCTTTTTTTTTGAAAATGACAGCACACCAGGTGCTATGATTCCACAGGGTGCTTGAGACTATTATTCCCTTACAGTCATGTAAAGGTACATGTATTTTATTTTTATAATCATTTGATAGTTTTGTTTTTTTGATATGCAAATGTACATACTATCTTTAAGTGAGATTTTCATCCATTGTGTATTTAGGTCCACTCCAAACTTATAGGCGTAATATGTCACTGTCCAGACATAAATTGACTGCAACTGTGCCAATATGGAAGAGCATTTTCAGAGAGAGAGAACATTTCAGCTTTGTTCTTAATGGTCTTAATTATCAAGTCATTTACTGAGCATTTTGTTCTCAGAAAAATCATGCCAATGCTTAAATTTAATCTTACTTTTTCTATCTTATAATTTTTTTGGACCTTTTATAAAAATGTTACTTCCATGGCATTCTTGCTTCAATTAATTTTATATTCGTTATTATCTTTAACTGCATGTTCAGTCATCATGAAATTTAAACACCATCATGTCAACTTAATTGTATGGTTTTGAATAGGTGAACACAGTTGAATTAATATCATGTCTTATAATATTGCCATTGCCTCAAGTCATATTCAATTGAGGCACGGTCATGTGATTCATTCCCATCCACTTTTCTCATCAAAGATAAGTCGACAATGCTGATTGACTTTCTGTACAGAAATTTGAACGGAAATGCAAAGGATTGCGGGCGAGCACAAACTGAACTGTGCGAATGAGGAACCAGCGTTGATGATGTGAAGTGTTGACGTCCAATCAGTGCATTCTATCTTACCTCATGCATATGTATTACCTCGTGAGATTTACCTGTACTAGTGCCCTTGGGTGTGGATTACCAGTGAAGTCATGTACCAAACACATAGAGGAATCCATTGTATTCCTCCATGCCAAACATGAAGGCATTTTTGGACTGGTACCTTGCAAGACTGAGGAGTTTCTCATCCTTCTTTTGACTGGTACACTAGTCTGCTGGTTGCAATTCAGTATTTCCTTCTTTGAGAATGTCTCTCAGAAAGCCCATGTTCAGTAGTTTCATTGGGAAAGTTATGTTTATTCATGAGAAAAGAAAAATGATGTCAAACCATTATTATTACTTTGTCAACTAGTGACAATAAAGCATTTTAAATAACGGCAGTCATCGAGGTGCCACGGTAGTGGATAGTGGGTGAGCTATGAATCGAACAGCCCCTGGTTCGAATCCACTAATGCCCATTTTTCATCCGTTTTTCTTCTCCAAATTTATCATTGGGATAATTTTTAAATTGAGAGAAAATATTAGTCTGAGAAACCTGACGAGAAGCTAAGTGCCTTGCAGTGATTCCATCAAAAATACTGAACATGGGTTCTCTGAGAGACATTCTCAAAGTAGTACATATTGATTAGCGTACTTTATTGTAAATAACAGGTCACATGCATGTAATTGGTGGGATTATATGTAACTGGTACCTCGCTGCCAGATATTTTGTGTTGTAAATTGTGAAGCAGTTGTTAAATATCTCAAAATGTGTAAGTTGCCACAAGCACAGCACAACCATGTGTATATACTTTGCACAGACTTGCCTGAATTATTAACTACATGTACTTTATGAGTTTAAGAGGCTGAAAAATAATACCAAACATTCATGCATGTTGGTACGTTGAGAAACAACTCCCACATTTATATTTTAGATATTCTAAGGCTGTTCCTGCCCAGGAAAGTTTAATATAATATTATTCCAGTCACCATCTGTACTGGACACTGATATTTGTATTTAAGGAGAAATATATTGTATTTAACTAAGTAGATAGAAATAATATCTTGGTAGCTGTCCTCAGGGATGGTATTATGAGTGACATGGTATTTCGTGGCTTGTATAGGCTATTCCTAGTAAACTTCCAAAAGTTGAAAATTTAACATAGTTATGGTGTTATGGAGTAGTGAAGTGTTGCTGTAAGATAGTGTCAACTCACATGAGTGAAGAGATTAATAAGTTTAACTGCTTCTCGTTAATAAAAAGTTGTTCATCGTTTGAGCATGTGACTAACTAAACTGGATTTTCTGAACATCATTCCTGTTTTCTTCGAAAGTGACAGCATGATGAATTGAGCAAGTTTCAAAGGGCGTTTCCTATTGGACGCCTTTTGGTCACAATTCGGTCACATATCGACTGAAATATAAAAGGTTTACTCTCAAAACGAAAAAAAAAGAAAAAATGCTGTTCTTGTAGTCTGGTTCCCTGACCCTACTTCAGACGAAACTGGGCAATTTATAGAAGTCAGGGAAATATCAGGTCAGGGAAACAGACTAGCTAACAATATAGATTTATATAGCGCACTTATCCGGAAACCCAATCAAGGCACCTACACACACAAAAATAGTCAAGCTCCACTCATTGTGAAACAACTAGCTTTCATCCATTCACGGATTTGTAACCAATTGCAAACAAATTTTGGGCAGTACATGTATTTGAAAAAGGTCAATTTTTTTCCAAATGATTTGTCAACCAATCGTCGTTGAAAATTGAAACAAAAATTCCTCTTTTTTTTTGAAAATGACAGCACACCAGGTGCTATGATTCCACAGGGTGCTTGAGACTATTATTCCCTTACAGTCATGTAAAGGTACATGTATTTTATTTTTATAATCATTTGATAGTTTTGTTTTTTTGATATGCAAATGTACATACTATCTTTAAGTGAGATTTTCATCCATTGTGTATTTAGGTCCACTCCAAACTTATAGGCGTAATATGTCACTGTCCAGACATAAATTGACTGCAACTGTGCCAATATGGAAGAGCATTTTCAGAGAGAGAGAACATTTCAGCTTTGTTCTTAATGGTCTTAATTATCAAGTCATTTACTGAGCATTTTGTTCTCAGAAAAATCATGCCAATGCTTAAATTTAATCTTACTTTTTCTATCTTATAATTTTTTTGGACCTTTTATAAAAATGTTACTTCCATGGCATTCTTGCTTCAATTAATTTTATATTCGTTATTATCTTTAACTGCATGTTCAGTCATCATGAAATTTAAACACCATCATGTCAACTTAATTGTATGGTTTTGAATAGGTGAACACAGTTGAATTAATATCATGTCTTATAATATTGCCATTGCCTCAAGTCATATTCAATTGAGGCACGGTCATGTGATTCATTCCCATCCACTTTTCTCATCAAAGATAAGTCGACAATGCTGATTGACTTTCTGTACAGAAATTTGAACGGAAATGCAAAGGATTGCGGGCGAGCACAAACTGAACTGTGCGAATGAGGAACCAGCGTTGATGATGTGAAGTGTTGACGTCCAATCAGTGCATTCTATCTTACCTCATGCATATGTATTACCTCGTGAGATTTACCTGTACTAGTGCCCTTGGGTGTGGATTACCAGTGAAGTCATGTACCAAACACATAGAGGAATCCATTGTATTCCTCCATGCCAAACATGAAGGCATTTTTGGACTGGTACCTTGCAAGACTGAGGAGTTTCTCATCCTTCTTTTGACTGGTACACTAGTCTGCTGGTTGCAATTCAGTATTTCCTTCTTTGAGAATGTCTCTCAGAAAGCCCATGTTCAGTAGTTTCATTGGGAAAGTTATGTTTATTCATGAGAAAAGAAAAATGATGTCAAACCATTATTATTACTTTGTCAACTAGTGACAATAAAGCATTTTAAATAACGGCAGTCATCGAGGTGCCACGGTAGTGGATAGTGGGTGAGCTATGAATCGAACAGCCCCTGGTTCGAATCCACTAATGCCCATTTTTCATCCGTTTTTCTTCTCCAAATTTATCATTGGGATAATTTTTAAATTGAGAGAAAATATTAGTCTGAGAAACCTGACGAGAAGCTAAGTGCCTTGCAGTGATTCCATCAAAAATACTGAACATGGGTTCTCTGAGAGACATTCTCAAAGTAGTACATATTGATTAGCGTACTTTATTGTAAATAACAGGTCACATGCATGTAATTGGTGGGATTATATGTAACTGGTACCTCGCTGCCAGATATTTTGTGTTGTAAATTGTGAAGCAGTTGTTAAATATCTCAAAATGTGTAAGTTGCCACAAGCACAGCACA